GGGCATCACATCAAAATCCCTCCAGTTGTGCTTAAAATTGTTTCCCGGTGGGCTCCCAGGAAACTCTGAGCTCTTTCAGGATTCTGGAAGGGTAACAGACCTTCCACTCCACCTCCCTACTTTCTTAGTTTGTTTTATTATAGTAATTAATTTTCAGTTACCTCTCAAAGGGCCTTTCTATTTTCACCAAACAGTCCAAGTAATGGTGAATTGTTTGCAGGTCTATATATAGCTATATATTTGGCTTTCTTCCAAAAGTGCTTTAAAGCAGCTTATGAAAATACATATATTTTAACCTCCTTCTGAAAATGGAAATGAGGGAACTGAAGCAGAGGGGAAGTAGGGTAGAAAAACAATTAACTTAGGGTGAAGAGCGTGAACAAAATGTGCTATTGGACCCTGAGCACTTTATCCAGTCACACATTTAGCTTTGAGCTTCCTAGTTGCTGATGCAAAAAGGGAAATGCAATAGTTACATGTACCACCCTGTCTATAAAACAAATTCCTTAAGAGAAACACCACCATTATTTCTCTCTTTTTTTTCTTTTCCTCTTCCCTTTCTTTTTAGTGATAGCTTTATTGAAATATAATTCCTATAACGTACAATCCACTCATTTAAAGTGGATGCTTGAGTTGTTTTCAGTGTTTTTACAGCTCATACAACCGTCGCCACAAACAGTTCTTAGAATGTTTTCATCACCCAATAAGAAACGCCCTCTCTATTGAGCAATCACTCCCCATTCCCTCTTCCCCCAGCCTCAGACAGCTGCCCGTCTGCCTTCTGTCTCTATGGGCTTGCCTTTTCTGGGCATTTCATATAAATAAATTCAAAGAATATTTGCCCTTTTGTGCGTGACTCCTTTTACTTATCATGATGTTTTCAAGGCTCACCCATGTTGGAGTGACATGCACAAGTACTTTATTCATGTTTCTCACCACCATTCTTGGTCCTATAACTCCAGAGACATTTCTTCTTTATCCATAAAATAAAACAAAGTCAGGTCAAATACCGCAGGAGTAGGTACCAGCTGAGCCCTAATGATGCAGGGCCGGGCTGTCCTATATGGGAGCCACTGGCCATCTGTGCCCATTGAATACCTGACATGGGCCATTCCACACTGAAATGTCCAATGGACGTAAAACACACCCCAGATTTTGAAAACTTAGTGTGAAAAGTGTATAATATATCCCCTTACTAATTTTTATATTGATTACATGTTGAAATAATAGTTGGCATTAAATAAAATATATTATTAAAACTGATTTCACTTGTTTCTTTTTACACGTTTACTGGTGCTACTAGAAAATTTTAAATTACAGGTATAGTTTATGCATTTTTATTATATATAATATAATTATATTCATTTGTATATTTCAGCACCGGTCTGGAGCTTTTCTAAAATTAAATCCCAAATCTCTTTCTTTTTTTTTTTTTCTAATTAAAGCAATTTGGGGGGAAAGATAATAGATGCTTGTGGTAAAGACCATCACACAGTACAAAGGACAGATTCAGCTAAAAATAAGGCTTTTTCTCCCAACCGTGCACAACCGTTGAATGCACACACATGCATTTATAAAAATGTTTATGTAAATATGTAAACTATACTGTACCTTGACTTCCTTAATATCCTAAATTTGGACATTTATTTTTGGGTAGGCAATGAATTCACGTTGTTCAAAGATACAGAGAACATGGAGTAGGAGATCTCACTCCCATTCCTGTCCACCAGCCGCTCAGTTCTGCTCCCCAGAAGCAAGTCATGTTTTAGTTTCTTGAATCCTGCTAGAGATAGTTTGTCATATATAAAAATATTTATATTTCCCCTTGTTATTCCCTATATGTTTTATACAGATGTAGCATAATAGACATTGCTCTTTACCTTGTTTGACACTGAAAAATAGGTCCTGGGGCACTTGTTGCTCAGAACATATACGTGTGCCTTCATCTTGTTGATGGCTGCTGCTGTTCCATGCACAGGGATTTAGGCAATTTCCAGTTGCCCCCGCCCACCGTACATGCTGCAGTATATACCCTGGTTCATAGATCGTCATGTACACGAGTGTGCTTTGTCATCAGTATATTCCTGCAGGTTCCTTCTGGATCTTTCCCAAGGCTGCCATGGCTAAGACCAA